AGTGATTTTGTTCCTGGAATGGTATGACCTAGACCGAGGTGTGGCACATCTAGGCCAAGGTGTGGCACAGCTTAGTCAAGTGTTGTCCTTCCAAGCCGATGTCATTGCTACCCTGCTTGCCGGAGCTTTGCCCTTAGCCGAGATCATCACTTGCCGGAGTACTCTTGCCGTCTAGCTTGTTGAACACACTTTGTCATGGTCTTGTCTAATCAGTCAGTCACCTTTTCGAGTAGAGCCAACCAGCCGGTACCACGTGTCCCAACAGAGGGATTAAGTCAGTGACTGTCGAGAGAAACATATCATTTTGTATCAAATCTTGCTTTTAGAGAGAGAAACTCTAGGAAGAAGGAGGAGAAGTTTTGAGTGAGAGAGTGAACTTCCAAGCTTGATCGTTGGAGTTTGGACCGTTAGATTCGAGTTTTGAGGTTAGGATCCTAACCTACTCTTGTTGTTCTTGTTGATCATCTAGCTGCATTGCACGATCGAACCGGTTCTGCACGTCATGCATTGATTTAAGTTGGTTTTAGAAAGAGAAAACGGTTTTCATGTGTTCTTGAAGAAAAGTCTTGTTTTGATCCGAAGGTTTGCATCAAGAACTATGTTTTTGTGTTTGTTCTCACAAGATCTTTGAGTATGGGTACCCAGGTCCATGTTTTCGAACTCATAGCATGAAATCCCAGTTCTTTTTGTAATAAACAAGTTATGATTTTAGCATCCTTGTTCTTTATGTTCTTCATGTTCTTCATGTTCTTCATGCTCATGTTCTTCATGTTTATCAAGAGGGAAATCCAGATTTTCCCAACTTCGCTTTTGAATGTGGCCGTCGGGACCACACCTCGGCAAGAAGGTGTGGGACCTCGGCCAAGACCTGGTGGTTGCCCAGCATGTTTTCCCGAGATAAGAAACTGTGTTTTGTTTCGATTTGACTTAGTCTTTGAAGAACGCCGAGGTCATTTGCATGCATGCAAGACTTGTTTTGAGAAGTGCATTCAATAGACTTTGCCATATGTTTGTAGAACTTGGACTTGCCTTGACCCCGACGTTTGAAGAACTATGTGAGTGGTATTTTTAATAAAGCTATGTTATCAATGTTTTGATGAGCTTTGCTTTGCTTTGTTTTGAAAAGTATTTGTTAAGCATGAATGATTGTTCCTAGTTTTGTATCTTGTATTATACTTGCTTTGATGACCTTCTCAGAAAGTCCTTAGTGCTAGGGGACTATAATGCAACTGCACATCTTGTTTTGAAAGTCCCTTGTGCTGGAGGACTCTAAACTTTCGCAGTACTCTCGTGGTAAAGGGCTACGGGCCCTTGTAACATAGGTCCTTTGTGCTAGAGGACTCTAAATTTTTGTAGCAACCTTGTTGAGATATCTCCCTTGCTTTGTTTTGTTTTGCCGCCGACGGTTTACCGCGTGGGTTTGTTTGCCGGAATGTCATCATTTGTAATATGTTGATGCTAGTAAGCATCCCTTGAAGTTTTGAAGATTTGTTAGATGGACGAGGTCCATCCCTTGTTATATAAAGTTTTGACATGTATTGTTTTGAAAAGACTTTGGCTATTATTCATGCAAACCTTTTATTATTTATATCATTCACTGAGTATCCAAGCTCACCCTCTCTATGTATATGTAGGTGATGAGCAAGAAGGCGATGACGCCTAGATGTGATTCGCGAGCTTGTTTTGGATTTTTGATTATGTCGGTTTGACTTGTATTTACGTCGGCAGTCTTGAAAATTATGCTTCTCGATTTGTAATACTTGTATTTTGCACACGTCGGCTTGAGAAGCCTTTTGATCAAGATGAAATTTGTATTTTGCTTCATTTGTAATTAAGTTGTAACCCATGTGAAGATGTTTGCCATTTCATTTGAATTACGCATAGCTCTTATGGACTAATTTGATCTGTATGTATTGCTTCCGTACTTGTGAGCCCCATATATTTATACTCTATTGTGTGTGACTTTTGAAAGTTGGCCTTCGGTAACCTCGGATTACTGGCCATCATGGCACCAAACTACTAGGGGCGGTTTGGGGTCGTGACAGTGATACTGATGGTTCCCTCAAATAGCTAAAGATATATATATATATATATATAATGGGCCTCCAAGTTATTGTTTTCTTTTGATTAGAGGAGAAAAAGGTTTCTTTTCAAACATTAATGAAATGATTAGGCATTATCATCTGATGGAGGATTTAAGTAGCAAGTCTTTGAAAAAATTTGGAAAAAAAAAAGTTGTGTGGGCCCAAGCAATATACATTTTAGATCCCCCCCCCAAAAAAAAAAAATCAAAGGGCACAAAGGTGTGTTAGCCAAACATGGCATGAAAAATAAATAAATAAATAAATAATTCCTTTTTATCTTTATTAGTTGTCAATCTTATCCATAAAATATGATGAGTTATCAATCTTATCCAACAGTCACATGAGGACAAAATATTCCCAAGGGTGTGAAGCGAAGCATGGCCAAAGAAGTGAAAATATGCATGTCCGAGAAATTCAAAATTTCCCACACATGCAAGGGGCAAAATGTAAGAGGGGTTAACTTGAGCCCATTAAATTAATTGGACCCAATTGAAACCCAATCGGAAAGCCTAAAAATTGGTGAGCTTGGAGAAATTATTGCCAAATGTGCCCAAGTGACTTCTATTAAACAGGCCCATAAGAAAGCCAACAAATTGGGTTAAGGAAGACCCACCAAGCAGAAATCTCTAAAGAGAGTCCAACAAGCCCATCCGAGAAGGCCCAGATCATATGGGCGTCTGAAGAGGTGAACCATTACTTTCAAAAGAAATGAAACCCTAGGAAGAGATCCATCCTCTAAGGTATTGACTTAGTCTTGAAAGGGTTCGGAACCACGAACCTAGAGACCTATTTGAGCTCGGAGTCGAAAGGGTTCGGATCCACGAACCTAGAGATCCGAAAGCGTTTGGCTTCGAACGGATTTGAATGCAATCTAGAAGTCGTCCGTTAATGAGTCCCAGAACACTTGCAGGCTTGGAGTTTTCTGGGATCTACGCACCAAACCATGGGCGTGATAGAGTCCGAACAAAGAACCTGATCCCAAGGACGGTGAGTGGAGATAAACTTACTCTTTAGTTAAACTAGCCTATACTTGGATCGAGATAGCACGATCTAAGGGGTTCTTGAGACTCAACAATATTTGTGGTAGGGCGTTCTCTTGAACTACCACTGACCCTTCTGCGGTAGGGCGTCCTCTGGGACTACTTTTGACCCTTTGGGATAATTGGGGATCATTGGTTAGGTATCGCTAAGAAGAAAGGTTCGCCGACAGGTTGATCTCCTCTTTGGGGTTTTCCTCATCCTCGGAGAGGTCACCTCATCGGACAAGGTGGTTAGAGAGAATATTCCCCATGTGCCTTGCACATGGGCTCCATCATACATCATGAGGTGCCTATAAATAGCACCCACCCATAGCTTTACAAGTAAGGGATTTTGGAGAGACAACTCTTGGGAAAGAACTAATTTCCTTTCTTCATTATCTACCTTGAGAGTGAAAGTGGGAGATCCATAGGAGAGCCTTGCCATCATTCTCTCTCTAACTGCTTTGCCTTCTTCTTTACCCAATCTCTTATCTCTATCATCTCCTTGCTATTGTGTTCCTAGTTATGGCTGTTAAAGAATCTAAGCCTCTCATCATTTCTAGAGAATTCGAGTTTTCTTCAAAGATATTCGAAGATTTTTGAATTTTCCGACAACATTCTTGAACCCTCTCATACAAAATGTTATTTTTCTTATGTTATGCCTAATAAATTTTACATATTCTTCCTATTTAGATTTCTTCATCTTCTTTCCTAAGTTTCAATTATTTTTTTCTTGTTCTTCTTCACTCAAAAACTCCAATCCACCCCACCAAAACTCACCATTATCATCAACATCATTGTTTTTATTATATTTATTACTTGCAAATAGAAGAAAGTTTGAATAAAATCAAACAATGAATGAGACTAATAATCGAAACAGTTTTTTAATACAATCTATCAACGATGAGGTAAATATTGACATAATATTAAAATACAATTATTGATTTTTGTGTTTTTTTTTCCTTTACATAAAAGCGAATATTCTGCTTGTTTTTTTTCATTATTATTCGAACTTTCAGAACCCAACAAAGTGCATTTCTTTAATTCTGGAAGTCTGAACGTGAAGTTCACCTTCTGCTTTTCATTCACCATCCTTCTTTGCCAGTGCCGCTTTCACCGATGTCGGGTTCCCTAGTCGTATTCCCTGTATGTATGTGAACAAAAAAAAAAAAAAATTCAAAGGGTATTTCAAAAGTAATTTGAATTTTTTAATTTATCTTATTTAAGTGTACCTCAAAAGGGTAATTTGGGGAAAAAATAGGATGTACTAAGAATAAATTGTAATCCTAAATAATTTAATAAGGTATATTGAAAAATTAAGCTCACTTAAATATTTTTTAGGTGTAAATAGAATTCCACCACTTCCTCCCCTACCATGCTTAGACAAGGTCATTCGCGCTTAATTTCATTTATGATTTTTTATTAAGCGGTAACGCAGTTAATTAGTTTTCTTGAATTGTTGACCCTCAATATGTGCCTTACGTGTCGTTAGATATTTCTTCTTCTTCAATTATTTATTTATTTATTTTTCATAACTGGCCAAACACATGTAAATATCTATCTATTGTCTACTCTGATATCATATTGTTAATCACTAATTCATCTAAAAGATTAAACTGTTATATATGTTTTTTGTTTTATTTTGATTGTTGATATTTTACGTGGTTGAGTGCAAATTTGAACAAAAATATCCCTTCCATTATAAAATTTGGACAAAAATAACGTTGTGGACCATTTTAATACAAAGTCGGATAAGTGTGAACCATTTTGACAGTTGAAATATGAGATTAAGAAACTGAAATAAGGATTGAAACAAAACTATTTTACTAAGATTCATATAGAATTATAATCCTTAATATGAATGATTTCAAATAAGTATTTCATACATAATTGTGGTTTCAAATCTATGACAGTCCTCTCAAATTCAATCTTGATATTCATATGTAAATGAATATTATTTAAATTTGAATTTAAGTTAATCCTTGAATGAACAATATCAAATTCCTTAACTTAACTTAGTACAAACTCTTGCGTCCTTGTAAACTCTTCCCGGTCGACAATAGTAGCCTTTACTTGGGGCACAATTGACATCTTGAGAGCATACACACAACCCTTCTAGAGCACAACCCTCCTGGACCATTGTCACTCCGTTTTGCAATCCAAGTAATCGGTTTGTCCAGTCGCTAGAGAAAATCCCTAATGGATCATACCTCGCCTTCACCTTCAAGAACTCTCTAATATTCTTGTATTTTTTGATTACACCATCAAACGCTACGTTTTGATTCTTGCCCCAATGGGGCAACCCTCCGTATTTGAACAAGCCAAGCTGCTCCACCTCCTCAAGTATGTCTTCATAAAGCCTAGGGGTCATTGGGTCTTTTCTCCGATAATAAGTGATATCAAAGTCTACAACATCTTCTTGTTTGCCTAAGAAAGCACTTGAGGACTTCACATACCTCATGAGGACTCCATTGTACAAGTCTAGGACACACAATGCTTTAGGCTCCAAATCAACTAGTTTTTGCACATCTTGAATGAAGCTCTTGACATTGGATAAGCTAACACTGAATGCGGTTTGGTGGAAGAAGAGTCCCTTAACCTTATGGTCCCACGGGCACATTGTGATCTTTCCATTCTCATGGCTATCAAGGCAAGTTCCAAAGGATTGGAGGTGGTTGTGATACCCAACCACTAGGTATCCCGTAAATATAATACTTGTTAAAAATATGAAGGGTTAATATTAATTTTTATCCCCTAAATTATTCACTCTTTTTTGTTTTAAATTTTATTTCTAAACTATTTTCAACTATTTAGTCCTTAAATTTTTTTTTTTTTATTTCAGTTCATATGATCTAATTGGATATTGTCCATTCAAATTAGTAATGATAAAACCTAATGTGCTGATAAAACCTAATGTGCTTTGATCCTATATTAAATTGTGACATTAGTCCATGGCCTTGTTACCTAATAAAATGGAGGAAGCACTTGGGTGTTTGTTTGGAAGAGACTGTGAGTTCAATCCTACAAGAGCTAATATAACAAAATTGATTTTCGTCGATAAAAAAAATATTTGTTACATTTAAAAGTTTAAATTAATTAGAGATGAGATAGTTTTACTCATTCATATCCTCGACAAACAATAACAAAAGCGGATGACACAACATTTTAGAGTGAGGAAAAAGAACCCCCCCAAACAAAAAAGAGAAAAAAAGGATAAATTATGCAAATGATTCATATAGGTTTTACGATGTGTTAATTTGGTCTATGTTGTTTTAATTTGCTCGATTTTACCTCTTAATTTGACAGATTGTATCATATTAGTTCAATAAATAACGACTGTTAGATTTGGTGGATTGAAAATCAAACGATGTGTCAATTTGGTCCCTATTGTTTTAATTGCTCGATTTTGATAGAAATCAAATTGACAAATCGTGTAAATTATAGGGACTAAATTAACACATCGTATGACTTTCCATCCAGCAAATCTAATAGCTGTTATTTATTGGACTAATATGACACAATTTGTTAAATTAAGGGACAAAATTGAGCAAATTAAAACAATAGGGACCAAATTGACACATCGTGTAACTTATAAAAATCATTTGTATAATTTACCCAAAAGAGAAAAAAGAAAAGAAAAGAAAAGAAATGTTCAACTAATATATTTGGTGGTCTTTTGGCAAGTTGGGTTAAAAGTTGAGTTTGCAGCTTGGGGGTTAAAAAAGCTAGATGGCTTTTTTAGTTATGGAGTCATTTGGCAAGCCTAAAAAAGCTACATATAAAATTACAATTATACCCTTTATATTATTTAGGATTATATGTAAATTTTCTAAATTGGGTGGGTAGTTTGGTCATTTTATTGTGATATAACATCATAAATAAATATTAACAAAAAAAAGTCAAAAACAACTTTTAACCATCTTCCTAAATCACTTTCTAAAAAAGCCAAAAAGCTTAATAAAAAGCCAAAAACTAACTTACCATCTTTCCGAAGCACCCCTTAATTCCAAACATATTTGTGAAATCTTATCAATCAGGAGGTTTATCATGAGTTCGAGCTCTTTTTTAGGCCAAGAGTAGGAGATTTGGACATGGTGTTACAGAATTATAGTTTATAAAATTAACACAAAACAAAAAATAAAAGCTAAATTTATTAAATTATGAAGAAAAAAAATGATTTATGGATGAATTTATTTTCATGTCACCAAGTTTTAGTATGATAAAGGAAATCTAAATAGATTTTATAAAGTCAAGCCGTTTAATATCTATATAACAAAACAACTCAGATTTTTCCTGATGGGGCTTTTGTTCCTTTGTCAAAATTTAGATTGGTTCAATCCAAAGGCTAAAAATGTCTCACTCTCTATTTGGTCACACTCCTTTCATCTCAAAATTTAGATTGGTTCAATCCAAAGGCTAAAAATGTCTCACTCTCTATTTGGTCACACTCCTTTCATCTCTTTCAAATTTTGAACACTCTCTCTCTCTCTCTCTCTCTCTCTCTCTACCTCCATCAAAGCCCATTCCCGTCCTTCTCTGTCGAAGCCCAACCCTTGCTGGCGACCAAACCCCAAACCCCCTATTACTTTCTTCATCTTCTCTCTTCCTCACTCTCTCTCTTCGCCATTCCAATCGCCCCAAACCTCATTCAATATTGACGAAGGGAGCCACTGTAAAAGGGGAAAGTGAAGTAAAACAACAAGAGATTCAAAGATGGGAGTCGAAAAGGAAGTCCTCACTATCGGAACCAGACCCAAACCTGTCCCCGGTCAGAGCATCATTGTCCACTGCACCGGCTACGGTTACCCCCTATCTCTCTCTATCTCTTTCTCTCAAGCCAATATATATGTATATTGTGGGTGCTCATTTTTTACCACACAACCAAACATGAAAACTCAGTAGGAGAGCACTAGCAGAATAGATTAAGCCCCCGAACAACCTGTTACAGAAATATAAGAATCCGGCGGTGGTTCGTCCACCCAGGGGCACTCCGACAATCAAGTTAGTAATTATCTCTCAAAGATAGCCAATAATGCTTAACTCACTAGACAGAGCCTAAAAAAGCATACCTTAGACCCACAAGGGTGCCTTACTTTTATAGCCAGCACTAACCTGATCCTTGTAGAAGCCTAGCTTGAATGGACTTTGGCTCAATGCTCATCTTGGACTCCCAGTTAGATAGAGATAACCTTCCTAAGAGCTTTATCTTTATCCAGACTGAGATCCTTCTCAGTTCTAGGACTCTTGTCCCTTATCCGCTCACCTCGAATTTCGGTGTCTCTACAGATAAACCTCGGCCTAACCGAGATCAACTCGGCATCAAGACCAGGCCACGTAGCACCTTGGCTGACACATTGGCGTCACCTTGGCCACATGTTGTCATTCATAAAATATGTCCCCACAACTGCGTCCTAGGTTCTATTATCTCAGCAACCTGAGGTGATGGAACCTACATCGCCAGTGCATTTACCATGTCGACTGAAATTCATTCTTTCTTCCTCGTTCGAGATCATTATTCGCCGGCTTCATGTATCCAGGACTCAACTGTCCAACTTTACCAGGGATCAAGAACCAAGAACCAAGTTCTTTAAGTATCTTAACCGAAGCCGTTCCTCTAGCCGAGGTTTTCGCTCTATTAACTTAAGAACTCTAAGAGTTTCATTTGCGCATGAGCTGTCATGTACAGTTTTCTCAACCGTTTCCCCCATGCGCCTTTTCCTTATTGGTCCATACGTGACACGCGCTATCAGGTCGCGTCACTTTTGTGCGCACCGCCTGACAAGCACGTCGTCCAAGGCGTTTAATTATGTTTTGCCACTTTTTCGCGTTTTAACAAAAACTCTTTCTCTCTCTCTTTGCCTCTTCACTTTCGCAAAATTTGATTTCTTTCTCTTGTGCTCAAACTTTTGCTCTCTAGTTTCTGCCATTTTCATACCTTCGAAGCTCTACACTTGCTTCGATTACCTATTCCGGTAAGCTTTTCACCATCTAATTTTGATCTCTCAAATGATCTGACTCCGGCGCCTCCTTCTTCGGCTTGAATCGATAAGTCCCTGATATTACTGTTCGTATCTTCAAATAATTTGTACTATTCTTCGTCTGTTCTTATATTCTGGTCATCATGAATCATTTCTGGTTCCTTGAATTTTCACTGTGCTTTAAATTTCATCATTCAGAATGTCAAATGTGTTTGTTTGCAACTTGTGCTGTTCAATTTATCTCTGTGTCTATATACACTATTTGTGATTTGTGAATGCACATACACACTGTTTGATGCTTTAACAATTTGTCACTGCTCTTGATATTGGCACATTTGCACACACTTGTTCAGTGTTCTTGAATCTTTGTTTCTTTCTTAAGTGAATCATGTTCTTTTCTGTTTCTCTTTGACTTAATTTCCAGATTCTTGCCCTTGCACCTTTGTTTTCGTGCTTAGCTTGTAGGTTTGGGATTTGCCTAGAAACCAAACACTTAGGAGAAACTAAAACAAACTCCCCTTAGATCTGAGAAAACCATAGCCCCAGTGCTAGTTTAGGTTTTAACCAAGGTGTTCAAACCTATAACCATTACCCTGTTGCCCAAACCCTTTACCTCGAGATAATGGGTATGTTCAGATAGAAGGTTGACACCACAGAAAAGCTCAAATATTTTAAGAGAGAGTTTTCTATCCCCATCGACGTCCAAATTATGTTAGTCGGGGAGGAGGACTCCATCATGCTAGATGGAGACTCCATGCCCTTCCCTGTTGTGGCCTTCCTATAATGCGAACTTCGGCTTCCCTTAAATATTCTCTTCAGGGAAATCCTTCATTATTATAAACTCAATCCGATACAGCTAGCCATCAATTCCTACAGGGTTATTAATGGTATAATTGCCCTAGCTCGGCGAGAAAACGCTAGGATAACATTGGCCGACATTCAATATTGTTATACCATGTGTGGCCTAAAGTCTGAAAAATGCTATATTTATTACCTGAAACCTAGATCCACTGCATACAAAATCATAGCTGACCTCCCAGACTCTAATAAGGGTGCTGGAGATGATTACCTCATCGTCTCGGGCAACTAGGAGTTTGCTCTTGATGATGATCTTCATCTCTTCCCTCTGCGCCGAACGGTGTTTAAAGAGGGTGATGGTAAGAATTGAGTCATTCTTTTAATCACATTTCTGTTAGGATTTGTCAACTCATATATCTTCGTCTGAATACTTTTGTTTTCTTGTTCCTTTTTTGTAGCTCTTCCCCAACCAGCATAAAACTTCCAACAAACTTTTTCCCCCAATAAGGACTTGAAAAAGATTCTTGGCCTGCTCATTGATAAGCGCAAAGTCCTTTTGCTACTCAATTACATCCCAACGTACAAGTCGGCTTTGCCTGACGTCCTTCAGAGAAGTCTAACTCCACTGTCTGCTTTAACTCCCTCAGTCACTTCTTCACCAAGAACTGATTAGGCTTCAT